TGAACTCCCAACCTCTGGATCCACAGCCAGATGCCTGAGCCATTGGTCAATCTAGCAGATGAACATAAGAACATAAGAAGAGCCCTGCTGGATCAGGCCAAGGGCCTACCTAGTCCAGCTTCCTATATCTCACAGTGGCCCCACCAGATGCCTCTGAGAGCACACAAGACAATTAGATACCTGTCTCCTGATACCCCATCCCCTGCATCTGGCGTTTTCAGGTACCTTCCTTTTAAGCTTGGAGATTCTACATCCCCATCATGGCTTGTAACCTGAGATGAACTTTTCCTCCAGAAATTTGTCCAATCCCCTTTTAAAGCCATTACCACATCCTGTGGCAAGGAGTTCCACACACTAACAACACATTGGGTAAAGAAATATTTTCTTTGGTCTGTTCTCACTCTCCCAACACTCGAATTGAGTGGATGTCTCCTGGTTCTGGTATTGCATGAGATGGAAAAGAACTTCCCTCTATCCACTTTATCCATCCCCTGCATAATTTTATATGCCTCAATCACGTCCCCCCATCAGGTGCCTTTTCCCTAGACTAACGAGCCCCAAACACTGTAGCCGTTCCTCATAAGGGAGGTGCCCCCAGCCCAGTCATCATTTTAACCACTCTCTTCTGCACCTTTTCCCATTCCACCGTGTCTTTTTTGAGGCGCAACGACCAGATGACAGCTAAAATCATTTTGTACAAATGATTCAAGCCAGAATTATTAAACAAGAGGATAGGTTAAACCTATGGAGAACAAAAACAACACACTGAGCTGAATAGATAAAGGACAAGATTCTGTTTGGACCATCTGGAACTCGTCAATGGACTTCTTAATTGAAATAGGAAGACCCAAGACTAATCACATAAAATTGGGCTACTTGAATACATCACATTTTTCATTGTGATTGTGGAGAAATTTAATCAAAGAAGCATTAATATGTGTGCAATTTACAGCCCACCACATGGACTAAAGAAGATCTAGTAAATAACTGAGATAGCACTATTGAAGTAGCCCATTACTGTTCAAAATCAGTCTAAGCATTTTAACATTTTAAATTTGTTCGGACTTCGTCTACAACTCATATATGTCCATAATTTCAAATTGTGCAAAACTCTATATAAATAAATATCTGTTCTCTTTTCCCTTTATGTTTAACAGAAACTCTGCCGATTGAGGTAATATAGAATTTCCCTTTTCCCTCCACATGTTTTCTCTCTGTACTTTCCTCACTCCTCCGATTAGTGGCCCTGTTGCTCCTCCACTACCTGCTATTTCTGTGCACCATTTTCCACTGAGGAAGTAAATGTGTCCGTGAATGCTCACATTAAACATTAGTCTTTAATCTGCCACAACATTTTGTATTCTTTATTTTTAATTTTCCTCCTGTTTTTGCCTGACATGCTAGCAAAGAGTAAAACAACAACTTCTTCTAAAACTACTACCAAATTACACTGTTTGACTTATTTTATTTATTTATTACATCCAAACTCTTCCATACAGGAGATTATGGGCTGATGGACAGCAAACTAAAATAGACGGATATTAAAAATGTATAATAGAAATGATCACCAAATGCTTATATTAAAAGAAAATGCTGTATGAATAACTTAAAAAAGGCAAGTGCATGTACAAACTCATGGTCCTGCTGGCATAACAAGGATCATACTCCTGGAAGACTACAAACAGATACTGGACACATGTGGAACCACCAGGACAGCCTGAGCAGAAGATATCAGTGATCAAACTGGGTGAAAAAAGAGAAGATGTATCCTGCAGTATACTAGTCCTAAATCATTTAGGAATGTAGAGATGGAGTGAGGAATGTGAACAATCAAACATAAAGGATCTAGAGCAAACATTCAGAGAGGAATACCTATCACATTGATATAAGCTTAAGAGGGAATAATCAACACTCAATTTGGCATAGACAATCATTCATGTGCAAAGTTGATAAAATTATTTCTTCAGACATTAACTCGGATGATGTTGTGAGAAAAAAATGCACCAATTTAAAAAGATTCAGGGTGGGAGGAACTATGGAATACATCACAGCAAAAGCCACATCCAGAGATGAAGAAGCATCACCAGGTGGCCTTGCATAGGCAAAAGCTCCAGTACATACAAACATAGAGGCAACAGTGAGGTGAGGAATGCAAGTGGAGAGAGCTCTTTTCTGTCCATGTACAGATGGGATTCTCAGCACTGTGGCAAAGATCTTCAGGTAAGTTATTATAATGAAGACAAAGCATCCTAGTGCTACCCCACAACTTAGTGCAAGAAACCCTAATTCAGTTAAATAAATAGAATAGCAGGAAAGCTTTAATAAATGTGGGATTTCACAAAAGAATAAATTGATAGTATTAGAACAAAATGTGTTTGCAAAGGTGCCACCTGTATGCAATATGGCAAAAAACAAACTGACTATCCACCTAGTGGCCATCATCTTCAGGCAGGTTCCTTGGTGCATAATTCTTTCATAGTCAAGTGGGCAGCAGATGGCAACATGGTGATCATATGCCATTATAGTTAGGATAAGCAAATCTGAAGAGGCCAAAAATATATAGAAGAAAATTTGAGCAACACATCCAGAATAAAAAATGGACTTGTCATCCATAACGGAAAGAGCCATTGATTTGGGGACTATGACTGAGATGGAGCCAATGTCTATCATGGCCAAGTTAAACAGGAAGAAGTACATGGGGGTGTGCAGATGGTAGTCAATGATGACGATGACGATGATTAGAAGATTCCCTGTTACTGCCGTCAGATACAATGCTAGGAATAGAAAGAAGTGTAAAATCTGTAGTTCCCGGGCATCTGAGAATCCCAGAAGCAGAAAAGTGGAAATGGAAGTCTGATTGGCCATACTGTCTTCAGCACCTGCACGCTATCTGTACCAGGAAAATATATATTTAAAATAATTAATTATATTTTTATTCAAACACAATCCCAATTTAACTATATAATTTACCAGATTTTCTTCATTAAATTAGCAGCAAGCAAATAATTATGTTTTACAACTACATTCCTACTCATTCAGTAAAAATAACAATGAGGTTTAAAATACTATATAACATAAGGGGGGAAATGGCATATACAGAATAAAAAACATTTTAAAAACTGTACTAGAAGATATCACACATCATTATGTGTGGAAAAAGGGAAAAAGTTCAAGAGATTGCAGTAATAGCAGCTAATGGAGAAGCAAGGGGATGGCTAATGAGAGAGGTGAGGGAAGGGCTGGTAGAAAGTTGGGGAGGGGGAGTCCTGTTTTGTCCCAAACAGCAGTGTTTCTGTTAAACATAAAGGAGAAAGGTATATGTTTATGTTTAGGAATTGATTTATGGTTACGTTAACGATAGGGTGGGAGGGGTGAAGCTAAGTATGTATGAAGAAGTGGAGGGGAGCAAGTCATGGTGTTCCATCTCCATGTAGATTGGGGCAATCCTCCCATGAGTGTAGGATATGGCACTTTGCTTTTCTTAGAGAGTAATTTCACTATACAAGCAACAATAATTTCTCTTGGGACTTTTGTTGCATGCTTTTTGGCTCCATGATAAATATCAGAAATAATGCATGTTAAAACACAGAGGTGTGTAAATCTTCATTCAAGATGCCCTGTTAACAACAGTCGCACAAACCCCAGATTGTAGCTGACCCACAAAAGATATAGATTAGTGGGAAGCTTTTAATGCAACCTTTGTGAAAAGATCTCCTGTGAAGAACAGAGATGCTTTATCAAGAGGTAAATACTCTCTCCTTTCCTCTCCCTGAAATGTGATTTAGGAAGACATATTTCTATAATCCATACATTTGCAATTAGACTGGACATAAATCTCAACTTCTTTCCCTAGAGATCACCCTCTAAATTGATTTATGTGCCCCCAAATCAGGATGCTGGCTGTTTTATTTAGGTACATGAAGCCCTGGAAGGGCTGCTTTACAAGCAGGGACCAATAGTAACATGGGATCCTCCTGGCTTCTGCCTTTTGTGGATCGTGGTAGTCAAAGCAAGCTGCCCCAAAGAGCTAGAGGTCATTGAGGTTTGCAAACATCCTCACTGCCTGACAGCAGCTGAGTAATATAGTAAAGGGAAGTCCTTGTGGGGGCTATCAACCAGAAATTCTTTGTCAGTTCTTCTATTAATCTGAACCAATGTCCCCTTTGCTAAGACACAAAGTTGCCTCGGCGGGGCTTCTTTGCCTGCCCAGCCAGAGGATATGAATGCAGGGAGCTTCATCACATCAGTCAAGGAGACACAGAAGAAGAGAGTCTTCCATGGTTCACCTCTTGTTTTGACTGTTGTGAAAAAGGAAACTGTAGATATTAAATTTATTATTGTGGTGTTTTGACAGCTACGGACTGAGATCTGAAACCAGGCTATCCCAGACCAGAAACAGCCACAGCTGTCTCACAAAATTGGCAGCAGTTCATTTTGATTTGTAAAGGGGACAGCACAGGTCCTCCTGCTCCCCTTCTCTGGCTCCTCTGGGTCAATCAGGCACTCACCAGGGCCAGAATGCTAGCTTCTAGCAGCTCCGAAACTATTTTCCACTCCTGGCAACATCTGAGGCTTCTCTGCCCTCCTCTCGTGGCTGATCTCCCACTCAGAAAAAAGGGACAGAACAGAGAGGACTGTGCTCTTGCTCATGACTGGGGGATTAGATGGGAGGTGGGAAAGAACATACAAACAAGGTCTGGCAAGTGGCTAGATTGGCTGAGGAGCTGAGGGAGGGGAGCACCAAGGCCTATGCTCCACCTTTATGAACCAGGACAAACTGGGACAAGCTGGTCTGTGCCCATCTCTAGAAGACAGTTGTGCCTCTTGTAATATTGTAATATCAAGGAGAAGCCACATTTTCTGAGAAAATTACTTTAAAATAAAATAAAATAAAGAAGAAGAAAAAAGGAGAAGCCACATTTTCTGCATGCCATTCCTCTAATAACTTACAGAGAGAAACACCTACTTACAGAAACCTCCACTTTCTTAGGACTAAACATAAGTTCATTGGTTCTTATCCAGTTGCTTCCAGTTATCAATCTAGAACTTCCACAAAGACGAAGGAGAGTCAGTAATAGAAGACATCTTTCTCCTCAAGAAAAAAAAATAAGTAATGCCCAGGATCAGCCCAGGTATTCTGCAGGAAAATCTCACAAATGCAAGCTCCACGGCTGAGCAAGCTTCAGCAGGGCAGAGCACCGTTGCTGCCCTCCCTGGATATTACAGGACATTCTTGAGTCTTGCAGATGCAATCAGGGAGGGGAGGGAGAGAAACACTCTACTTAAGGAGTGATCCCGTCTCCCATCTTTCATTTCTTGGCACCCACCCACCCTATGCACTAGTGTCAGAATTTCTGGTCGCCTTTTGGGGCCAGATAGGAATTTTTGGCCTGCATCCTGATTGACAAGTGGATGCGGGGATTTTTTGCTTATCCCACACAGGTTGAGGTGCACAGGCATTTTGTTAGGGAGGAAAACAATCAGTCACACAGGCAAATAGTGCAGATAGAACAGGTTTTGGTGAGTCCCTTTGCAGTCACAGGTGATGTATAGCTCATCTGACCTCCCAGCGCTGCGGATTGTGTGATTACAGTGCTGGGGGGGGGAGAGATGTGGACCAATGGTCACCAAGGGGAAGGTGGCTTGAGGTCTGGGGTGATCAAATTTGGGCCAGCTGGACTTTCACTGTCTTCACGACCATGAGACATTGGGGCTAGGGACCTGCCCATTTATTTGGTAAGGGGTCCGTTGAGTCCTCTGTGCAAAACCTGATTCCACACTACAGCAGGACACCCCTCCCCTTTCATGGTGGGCAATAATGAACATTCAATAAAATTTGAGTTTGGATGTCTTCTTGGAAGATATCCGGGGGGGGGGGCGGGGGCTGCTTGTTGAGCTCGATTGGTCTGGCTCAATGGCGAGCATGGAATATAGTGTGTCTATGGCAGTTAGTGTGGAAAAAACAGGTATTTCTCGGTGAGTCCCACTGTAAGATCAGGTAAGCTAACAGTGCATTGGACCTCCCAGGACTGCGGATCATGCGATAACAGCACTTGGGGGGAAAGATGCACTGGGCCACCACTGGACCAATAGTCATCAAGTAAAGATGGCTCAAGGTCTGGGGGTGTTTATTGGCGGCTAGCCAGGTTCCTGCTGTCCTTAAGACCGCAAGAACCTGGGGCTGGGGACTCACCCATATGATTACTAATTTATCTATTTCTGCACTACAGCAGGCCCCCCTTTGCCAATTGATTGGCAAAATTTTTGGAATGATTATCAATTAAGTGTGGCCTGTGTTTTAATCCATGCCACTTGTCTTGCGTCTTTATTCAGGAGTTGGGGGCCAATGACAAAGTCACTGCCAAACCGAGGCTTTGGGCAGCATGACTAATGCTTTGACACACCCCCCCCCATGGATGGTGTGAGATTTTAAAGTATCACAAGAGTTGTTTAAGATGGGGAGAACACCAGGTTATATAAGGCCATTCTCCTCGCTAACCGTCCTCTTCTTTTTTTGGCACCCACCCACCCAATTCTAGTGTGAGTTTTCCTGGTCGCCTTTGGGGCCGGATAGGGATTTTTGACCTTCATCTTGATTGGCTGCAGGACAGGCAGATTTTTTGCCTATCTCACACTAGTACGAGTCGGTGGCATTTTTATGGTGGAAATTTTGGTCTCACTGGTGGGTAGTGCGGAAAAAACAGGTAGTCCTCGGTGAGTCCCACTTTAAGATCAGGTAAACTAACAGTGCATCGGACCTCCCAGGGCTGTGGATCATCCGATTACAGCACCTGGGCGGGAAAGATGCACTGGGCCACCATCGGACCAACAATCATCAAGTAAAGATGGGTCGAGATCTGGGAGTGTTTATTAGTGGCCAGCCGGGTTCCTGCTGTCTTTAAGACCACGAGAACCTCGGGCCGGGGACTAGCCCATATGATTACTGATTTATCTGTTTTCACACTACAGCAGCCCCCCCCCCTTTGCCAATTGAATGGCAAAATGTTTGGCATGATTATCAATAAAGTGTGGCCTGTGTTTTAATCCGTATCACTTGTCTCACATCTTTATTCAAGGTTTGGGGGGCAATGTTACAGGTGGGTGTAGTTATAGATGTACACAGGTACAGAGTAGCATTTGTTTCAACAGTCACATTTGTATCGGTGGCATCCTGTACATCAGCATTTTAGTTCTAGCTCCAAAAAGAGGAAACTCACTGAGATTTACAAAAGTATTCACCAACCATTCAGCAATTCATCCAAAGGGACTATTCTCTACTTGACAGTAGTCATAGATTCTGAACAATAGCTGTTGATTTTCCACTCAGGACCAATTAAAAATTGCAACATTCCAATACATTGTATAAGGTCCATTTCTCTCCCAACTACTGTAAGGATTGTAACTAAGGTCATCCCGACCTAGGGAGTACGGTCAGAGTTCTCCTACACAAAAAGTCCCAGAATATTGATCATATGTAGAGATGTGCAATGGTCCTTCATTCAGATGCAATAGGCAGCCTTTGACAAGGTTATAATAATAATAAATGTTTATTACGGTCATTCACCAGCAAAAGTAAGATACTTTTTTTAAAAAATTAGGAGACATAAAAACACTATAAAAGCATTAAAAACACTAAAAACACCAAAGCACTAAACACATCTATATACATATATATATCTTACTAAATATCTCCTACCTCCCTATCATAGGCCTTATCTATGGGCTATAACAGCTTGCATAGAAACGTCTTGCATAGAATGCCAAAATTGTTACTTTGAAGCTCATAGAGCCCGTGTGATCATTATACCAAATTGGTATATACCAATTTACAGATTCTATAGCTGCGCTTTAGGTTGACAAGGTTGGGACTCAGTTAGTGATGAGTTAGGACAGATAAACACTCAAAAATAAAGGATTTAGAACAAACATTCAAAGAGCAATCTTTGTGAAAGATTTATAAATCCTTAACACCACATATTAAAGGAAAAAAATAGCAATTAGATGTTCAGAAAACGACAGTAGAAGAAAATGTTAGTTTTAAGAGTTTCCATAAGGCAGCCTTGATCTCTTTGTTTTTCATGCTGTAGATGAATGGATTCAGGGTGGAAGAAATTGTGGAATACATCATAGCAGAAACCACATCCAGAGTAGAAGAAGCATCACTGGGTGGTATTACATGGGCAAAGACTCCAGTTAAGACATAGAGAGAGACAACAGTGAGATGCGGAATACATGTAGAAAGAGCTTTTTTCTGGCCATGCACAGATGGGATTCTCATTACCATAGCAAAGATCTTCACATATGTTCTGATAATGAAGACAAAACATCCTAGTACTACACTAGAACTTAGTGCAAGAAGCCCAACTTCAACTAAATAAACATCAGAGCAAGAAATCTTTAATAAATGTGGAATTTCACAGAAGAATTCAGGTAGAGATTGTGTGGGGTAAGAACAAAACCAAGCATAAAGGATTTAAGGAAACATTCAGGGAGCAAATATTGTGATAAATTTATGAAACCTTAAAAACAAAGTGTTAAGACCGAAGATAAAAATCAATAGGAAGAAACAGGATACAATTAGATGATCAGAAAACAACTCTAGAGGAAAACACCTATTTTAAAAGTTTCCACAAGGCAGCCTTGATCTCATTGTTTCTCATACTATAGATGAATGGATTGAGTGTGGGAGCAATTATGGAGTATGTCACAGAAAAAGCCATATCCAAAAAAGAAGAAGAATCATGAGGGGGTATTACATAGGCAAAGATTCCAGTTAACACATACAGAGAGACAACAGTAAGGTGAGGAATACAAGTAGAGAGAGCCTTTTTCTGCCCATGAACAGATGGGATTCTCAGCACTGCCAGAAAGATCATCACGTATGTTACAATAATGAAGATAAGACATCCTAGTGCTACACCACAGCTTAGTGCAAGAAATCCAACTTCAACTAAGTAAATATTGGAACAAGAAGCCTTTAACAAATGTGGAATTTCACAGAAGAACTGATTGATACTATTAGTACAGAAGGTGTTTGCAAAGGTGGCACATGTGTGCAATGTGGCATAAAAGACACTAAATATCCATCCAGTGGCCACCATCTCAAGGCAGTTTCTTTCATTCATAATAGTCTCATACTCAAGTGGGTTGCAGATTGCGATGTAGCGATCATGTGCCATTATGGTTAAGATAATAAAATCCAATGTTGCAAAATAGAAATAAAATAAAAGTTGAGCAACACATCCAAAATAAGAAATGGACCTGTCATTCATAAGGGACACAACCATTGATTTAGGGACTATGGCTGAAACTGAGCCAAGGTCCAGAATGGCCAGGTTCAATAGGAAGAAGTACATGGGTGTGTGCAGCTGGTAATCCATGGTGACGGCAATGATGATGAGAAGATTTCCTGTTACTGCTGTGAGATACAATGCTAGAAATACAAAGAAATGTAAGATCTGAAGTTCTCGGACCTCTGAGAATTCCAGGAGCAGAAAAGTGGATACAGATGTATGATTCTTCATATCGTCTTCCATGACTGCACACTTTCTGTACCAGGGAGAATATATATTAAAATTCATTCATGACTTTGTTATACAAAATGGTTCAAAATCAACTGTGAAATTTACCAGAATTATCTCATAAAATCAGTAGCAAGAAAACAATATTGTATTCTCGAAGGCTTTCACAGCTGGGATC